TGAGTCCCCCCTTCTCCCCTCCCCCCCGTCTTTCCTATTCCCACCCCCCTCGCTTTTCACATATTCTTTCTCAATCGCGTGAGCGACGTGCTGATGAGTTGTGGTGCCGCAGCTCCCGAACTTCCCGCACCCGCCCGTGGGGTACGTCGCGGGCGGACACGACGAGGAAGATATCATCTCGAACCCGAGCATGGAGAATATGCGGGCGCGGTATGTCGAGGGCGTCGAGGCGCGGCCGATGACGGCCAGCAGCGGTGCGTTCTATTCCTTTACTTTGCTTGACTGGGGGTTTTCGTGGATATATGCGTTTGGGTGCGGGCGCCTGTCGTGGTGGTGGGAAAGCGGCGTGCTGGATGGGCGGTCGAACTGGATGGGCGGTTGAACTGGATGGGATGGAAGACGGCGAGATGAAATACGTGTGCGATGGTGGCGGTGGAGATACGCGAGCTCGCGGGCAGGCATGGCATCTGGTCCAGAAGGGAGGAGGGCGCGTTGCGGGCACGTTCCGCGCTTGCCGCACGTTTTACGCGCATTGTCCCCTCCCCTCTCAACCCTGCCCGCCCTTCGCGTTCACTACCTCTGACCCCAACCACCACCGCACCCACATCATCATCAAAAGTATCATACGATGCTGGCCGTGTGGCCTCCCCCGTCCTCGGCGCTGTCGCAGCCGTCGTATTCGAGCCTGAACACGCCTATATTCCCGAGCTTGAATTCGCCGCCTTTACCGCCGCCCGTTTTTCCGTCTCTGAACACGCCTGCGCCGCCCCCGCAGCCGCCGTCGTTCTCAACAAACCATTCGCGCGCGAGCTCGGGGAACAACTCCCTGTCGTTCTCGGCTTCCGCTTATCCTCCATACGCGCATCCGAACTCTGTACTGACGCCCGCCCCCTCCCCTTTCCGGCGTCCGTCGCCTGCAGCACGCTACAGCCTCCACGACCCCGCGAATGCTCATTCGAGGAGTACGAGCACGCACGAGCAGTTCGTGTATCACCAGCACCCTCCGCATCATCAACACCACGCGCCCCCTCAACTTCCCACCGCCGGCCTCGGCCTCCCGCTCCCGCCGCTCAACACGCAGCCGGAACGCATCATCGCGCCGACGCCGCTGACCGCCAGCCTCAACCCGCACGCTAAACCGTTCGTGTTTGGGTCGCGTGCGCCTGCTGGACCGCAGACGGCGCATCCGCTTGGTGTGGGCCATGCGGGCGCGCAGGGCAGCTTTGGGCCGGGCGTGAACCACGCGGCGAGCGGATCGCTGGGCAGCGAGAAGCCGCTCAACGCGCACAGCCAGCACCCAAGCGTGTCGTTCGTGCCTACACCCGCCGTCAGCTCCGCATTCAACCCTTCCAAAGCACCCGCCACTGCCCATCCGCTCGGCTCTGGCGCTTCGCTCGCGAACGGGCTGTCTGGATCGAGCTCGCCGGAGAAGGGACACTCGCGCGCGGCTAGTGTTGGGAAGCCGCTTAATGTCGCGGCGCCTGAGTTTAAGCCTGTGGGCACGATCCGCGCGGGCGGGTTTAATGTCGCGGCGCCGGAGTTCAAGCCTGCGTTCAACGTCGCCGCGCCGGAGTTTAAGCCGAGCTTTGCGCTGCCTAGGCTGGACCCTATACCCGTCGCGCCTCGTCCCTTCTCCAACTCGAACTCCAATACGAACTCGGACAAGGAGAACGTCGCTGGGCTTGGACCCAAGCCGGTATTGGGCGGCCTGGACACGACGGTCGATAAGCCGCTCAGCGAGTCCACGCCCTTCACGTTCCGCGCGCCTGCGGGGCCCAGTGTGCCGCAGTTCACGTTCCCGCAGGATAACATGTCCTCGATCAGGTCGACGCAGGGCCGCGAGAAGAGGCAGAGACGGATGAGCGATGTTGGTCTGGAGAGCGAGGAGGATATGGCGGATGAGGAGGCCGAGGCGGACGAGGACGAGGATGATTATGGGGTGCGGACGCCGGACGAAGAGAGGGCGAAGAGCTTCAGGTTCCCCCCGAATGCGAATGTGGAGAAGGAGCTTGGAGCCAGTACGAGCACCTTTGGCGGGGTGGCGAGTCCGGAGCCTGAGGAGGATCTTGGGACGGGCGCGGCGGTGTCCGCGAGGAATATGGGCATTAATGGCGCACACGAGCTCCCTGTCCCACCGTCTATGTCGCGCGCGCGTCGTGCGCCTATTCCGCTGGACTTCAAGCATCCCGTCAGCACAAACACGGTGCCCGCGGGTCTGTTTAAGGCGCTCGGCGCGAGCTCCGGCCCGAGTACCGAGGACGAGCGCACGCGCCGCGCCGTACGCAGCCGTCTCGGCTCGCGCGACCTCGACGCCAACTCCCGCGCCGCCCTCTCGCGCTCGGACAGCCTGGACGACGTGCATGTGCCCGCCATCAGCCGCAAGATCTCGCGCGGACGGCTTGTCACGGATCCGGTTGTCCAGCCTACACTGCCGACGCTCCCGGGTGGAAGGAATCACCATCGGCGGTCGAGCTTGCCGGCTGTGAGCACGAGCAGTCTTTCGGAGGCTGCTGGGCTCGGCGATGCGAATATGAGTGTTGCGCATAGGCTCGAGCTGTTGAACCATGTCGAGGACCGTCTCGAGGCGCTGCTCGATGCCAAGCTCGGCGCGCTCCAGCTCGACGAGGTCTTGACGCTCTTCAAAGCACAGCTCGAGGACGCGGCTGCTATTGGCCTGCGCGAGCACGAAGACTCCCAGCGCGATGCGAGGGGCGAGCTCGACCTTGAGATCATCCGCGACACGCTCGAGCAGAACCTCGCCGACGCGCGCGCCGCGATGCGCATGGACCTCGAAGAAGCGCTCGCTGCGCACCGCTCGGCCGTTCAAGCGCCGACCCTCCCATCACTATCCTCCCTCACCGTCCAGTCCCCATCTTCAGAGCCGGTCGACTACGACGCGCTCACGACGCGCCTTGCACAGGCTGTGAAGCCGCATATCAGCCAGCTCATCGACCTCGCGAGCGATAAGCGCGAGACGGCGGCGCTTATTGTCGAGGCGCTCAGGCCGGCGCTTAGCTCGTTGACGCCCGTTCCGCCACGTGTGCCGACGCCGAAGCCGCCTGCGCCCGCGTTCGATAGTGCGGCGTTGTTGCAGGATATCAAGACGATCGTTGCACCGCTCGATGCGCATGAGCTCAAGGAGCACGTCGCGGATCTCGTCGTTGCGCGCCTCGATGCTCGTCTGTCGACGCGCGACCGTACTATTGATAACTTGCCGGCACGCGTGGCCGAGCCCGTAAAGGAGGCTGTCAACATGCTCTCCGAGCTCGCTCGTTCTCAGGATGCACTTGCAACACATACTCGCAGCATCCCTGATGAAGTCCGCGCCGCGCTCGCTGCTGCTCTGCCGAAGGACCAGCCGATCACTATGGCCACGCTCTCACGCATCGAGGAGGCGCTTAAGCTTCTCAGCGCCGGTCAGAAGACTCTCGCAGAGCAGTCAAATGGCACAATGGCTGTGCTCGGTCGTCTGGGCGCTATCCCCGACGCCGTCACTGCTGTCGAGGCGCTACGGACATCATTCGCTTCGGCTGCGACCAAGGACGACCTTGAAGCTCTCCGCTCGGCTCTGTCAACAAGCAACGAGACACAGCTCCAGCTCGCGAAGGCCCGCGCACAGTACGGTAACGCACGTGCTGAGAAGGACATCCTTGCCGAGCTTCGTCGTGAGAGCGATGCTGAGCGCGACCGTCTGCGCTCACAGGTTGAAGAGCTCAACGCCGCACTCGTGTCGAGATCAACAGAGGCTGCGGCAGCGCAGGCTAGGTCAGCGGAGTTGAATGAGGCGCTGTCACAGAGCCTGGCGAGGTTGAAGGCCAGTGATGTTGCGAACAGCACTCAGGCGGAGAGGATTGCAGAGCTCGAGAAGTCCAACAGAGCGCTTGCTGCTGACAAGGAAGCTATGGGACTCAAGGTATGTCTCTTCACCGTGTCTGTTTGTATGTATATCCTGATGTTATACAGGTACATGCGGCAGAGATGCAGGCTGCCATTGCCTCCCGCGACAAGGAAGCAGCTCAGACCGCACTCGCTGAGGCCCAACGCGAACGTGCGGCACAACCCGAGCCCAGCAACCACTACGCAGAACTCCGTACCATGATGGAGGCCCTCCAATCCCAACTCTCCCAACGCGATGAGGGTGAACTCGCCGATGCCCGCGCCGCCCGCGACCGGGCCAAGGCGCTCGAGGGCGAGTACGCCGCACTTCAACGCCGCTTCCGCGACCAGGAAACACGCGCAACGAGTGCAGATCGTGCAGCAGCACAAGCGCGTACCAGCCTCCAGCAGGCGCAGGCCCGTGCTGCCGAGTGGGAAAAGCGTGCTCGTGATGTTGAGCATGAGGCGCAGACTGCTCAGGCTCGCGCTGAGGACGCCGAGTCGCGCGCAAAGGCGCTCGAGGCTGACCGTGAAGTGGACAAAATGCAATCAGAGGAGAAGGACGCGCAGGAGCGTTTGGCTCAGGTAAGCTCGCTGCGCCCTACACTACCTAATATAGTACTCACAGTGGCTTTCAGAACCGCGAGTCGAAGCTCCGCGACCAGGTCGCTTCTCTCGAGAGCGACGTGGCTCGTCTTCGCGGCGAGATCACCCGCTTACAGGCTGAGACTGCGCAAGAGCGCGCCAAAGCCAAGGCCGCCGCTTCACAACCCCCGCCGCGCCCCGACTCGCGCGCAAGCACGGCGTACGGCGGCTCTCGTGCGGCTACGCCCGTGGGCGTCAAGTCTGTCGCCGCGCCCTCCGCCCGCAGCAACACGCCGCCGACGTCCTCCATCTGGGATTCGATCCACGCACCCAAGGGCATCGACGCGCGCTCGCGGTACATGGCCGCTGCCGCTCTCGGTAACGGTATCCCGAAGAAGGCACCGCGGCCGGGAGGCTACTACTCGCGCCCAGCGGCACCATCACCAACGCCGAGTGTTGTATCTGTCGCGCCGACGCAGGGCGCTGATGGATGGTGGGAGTAGATGCGCACTGGATTGATAGAAGATTGATCGGCGCCTGAGTCTGATTACTACGCTCTTGGATGACACTCATCGGTGTCGCTCTGCGGCCCGGATACCTTAATGCTCTGGAGACTTACTTTGTTTACTGTTGCTTGCTTACTCGGATTTCCTCATTTCGTGCTTCGTTGCTTCCCAGTTGTTCTTTCTCATCACGCATATCATCCCGGTCCTAGTCTCACTCTCCATGCATGTCCTTCGTCCGCTACTATCTATACCCGCCTTCAATATCTCGATCCGGCTTGGGTTCGTCTAAACGCCGTTTCTACTGTATATATCCTGATTGTCGAATGATGATTCTACATCATACTACATCTCCGTTTCACTCTAGGCCAGAACCTTCTTCATGGCTAGAGCTGCGCATGCAGCGTCGTACAAGGGCATCCCGTTCTTCCCATAGCACTCGCTCTTGACCTCAACGCATCGTACGCCCAGTTTCTGCATCGCATGATTAGCGTGTCGATCTACATCGGTCGCATTCTCACTCACAGCAATGGCAGCGATATCGACGGGCACCGTAGACCCTTGTAGGTGTACCAGATGCGTGATGAACGCCGATACAGGGAAGATGGTATTTGCATTGCCGAGTCCGTATGGCTCGTTTTGATATCTTGCACTCAGAGCATTGACGATTGCCCTACTAGAAGTCAGTAAGGCGATGCGGAAAATCAGACGATGTTCACTGTATGTAGTCGACGGCTGTATAGTCCATAGTCTCGCGGTCATTCTCAGAGTTCACTTGAATGCGGTCAGATTGAGCCTCTCGACGATACGCATGTTGGCGCTACTTACAGAATAGAACCTTCGCTTTGAGAGAATGAGACCGTGCGATGGCCGGACCGACGCCTTTGAGTGTCAAGCATGGCATGATACTGGCAATACTGAGCAACTTTTCTTGATAACTTCGGACGTGAACACACCTCGTCCAGAGTGATCCACAGGAATAGACGAGCACCTCGTTCGTTGAGAGGCTAGACAAGTAGTCTGGGTTCGGAGATGGGTAGATCTCGTGTCCATAGGCGTTGATGTATAGCAACCCTGAGAGAGACCATCAGACCCTGTCAACATAGATCATCGAAGTGGACTCACTGTGAATGGGTGCGTCGAGCGGGATGAAGTCGTCCTTGGAATCAGCAGTAAACGCTACGTTGGTGGCAGTTGTCGCGGTCTCGTATGCGTCTTGAAGACCCAAATCAAGTCCGGTTGGCTCGGGGGGTCCAGTCTGCTGTACGGGATGTGAGATCTCGCATTGCCCGACCAAGCGTGTGTTGTCTTCCTGGAGCGCCCAATTAGACCTTACATTCGAGTACGCTCTACGAGAGGGCTTGCCAAGTCAGCAGCAATGGTCACCGTGTGATTGGTCACGATCACGGGTACGATGTTGGCTTGACTATTTGTAATCGATGCAAAGAGGAAGATCGCCGAAGGCAACGAGCGAAAGAAGCCCTGAGCCGCTACGAAGCCGATCAGACAGCTGTGAGCAAAGCTGTAGCACATGACCTACCTGCGAGGAAGTAGTTTCCAATACTGTGCGACTGATTTAAGCTCATGATCAAGATTATGAAAAGCAAAGTCTGGCCTACCTCCCGTTCCGGAATGAGAAGTTCTTATGTGCACGTCTTAGCACTTCGTTCTCAAAGTACACAAGGAACCCGCGGATAGCCTCCTTGCGATCATGCGGAACGCCTTCCCATAACGGACTTCGTCCTTCGACGATAGACCGCCATTCGTCTCTAGCTTCCTCCTCTGAGGCTTTGGCTGGGAGTCGGTAAGCCAATAAAGCCCTGAGAGCGTCGAGTGGCGAGCCTGGATCGGCTGGTGGTATCAATCGGACTAGCCGGGAACGGATGTCTCCTACAGAACTATGAGGCGTAGACAGACAGGAAGTGGGCTTTGCATGTACCGATAGATGGTCCACCAATGACGCGGATGATCTCGCTTGAAGAGCCTCCATCATCAGATACAGGAAGAACGTAGCAAGCCTGGCCAAAAGCAGAACAGATTGCATTGCAGCCCGTTCCTCCAGATAGAATGACGTATGAGGGGCCAGAACTCGGAACGTCGGTTGGAGGCAGAGAGAGACGTGGCTTTAGAGACTGGATCTGACGGGACTGGCTTTCGGACTGCGTTGGTAGATCAAAGACTGCCGAGCTGGGGCTTCCTTGTGGGCTGCGACCGGAGACAGTCAAGCTTTCGTGGACCATAGTAGCGGGAACGAGAGATGCGGTACGTATGAACCTGGAGGCAACACCCTCGATGGTTTCCCGACAAAGTTGAAGGTCTGAACTCGCCGTCGTGTCAAGCTCGATGGCGGTACGCGGGCACGCGTGGCGCAATACCAATGCCAAGTCACGGCCACGTGAGTTGCTCGGAGTACGGTTCCGCATACAAGGTTTCAAGCAATCTGAGGGTAACACTACGTATCGTATCGTACAGCCGTACACTCATACAGGATGATCTTGAAGCGAGTAACAGCATAATCAATATCCGTCCGCGCCCGCCACTACTCCGTATGCCGGCCCGCCTCGCCCAAACATCCCGCGTAGATCGCCAACCAGTTCTTTGGGCGTCTCGTGAGACGCAAAGTGTCCTCCGTGCTCATGAGTACTCTCATGAACGACTTTACCAAGACTCTGACACCACCTGTACGATGCGGATTAGATATGCGTGGAAAGATCCTGTAGAAAGCTACTTACGAGCTTGGCAACGGCGCCAGTTCCTTCGGGAAATGGGATATACCCAGAGGAGCGATCGGAGGTGGCGCAGACTGATAGAGCTCGAGTGCTGCGAAGTACTCGAAGTAGATGCGTGTGCTGGCTCCCGGACCTGCACGAGAGAGCCAGTACAGCGAAATCCATTTGAGCACTGCATGTACGGTCAGTATAGGAACGAATCAAGTTAAGTGTAGGAAGACACACCCTCGTCGTCACTCCACGCATACTTGTCGCTCCAGAGTACGAGCTTCTCGTAGATCCATGCGAGCAATCCAACCGGCGAATCCGATAGCGAGTACGCGAGCGTCTGCGGCTTCGTAATATGCATCATGAAGTACCCCCTCTGCGTCTCCTCGAACCACTTCGCACGAGCAATCCCAGCCTTCTCAGAGGCAGTGTATGGAGTGACGAGATGTTGCAGGTAGCCAATGGGGTCCGAAAAAAGTCGAGGCGGGCCCGTCGGCGCGGGCATGTTGGTATGCCAAGCCTTCACATGGGCTGGAGCATAGTTCGTAGCAGAGACTTGTGCGACGCGCCGTCCGAGGTCGCCACCTTGAACGACATACTGGTCGTACCCGAGCGCAATCATGAGCTTGTGAAAGATCTCTGCCGCCTGTACGAAGTGGAATCCGGGCTTGTGCGGCGCCTCGCTGAAACCGAAGCCAGGGATGCCGGGCGCGATAACGTGGAAGGCCGGTGCGGCGGGGTCGTCCGGTGCGGTGAGCAACGGGAGTATCTTCTCGACTTCGAGGAAGCTGCCCGGCCAGCCGTGGACGAAGAGTAGAGGGATGGCGTTCGGGCGTGCGCTTCGTTGGTGGACGTAGTGAAGGTCGAGCGCACCGAAGCCGTCGACGTCGAGGACGCGCGTAAACATGGGCAGATTGTTGATTTCTCGTTCAGCAGCGCGCCAATCGAAACTATCCCGCCAACGCTCGATCAGGCGTCGGATGTGGGCGAGTGGAACGCCGTAGTGCCAGCCCGCGCCGACAAGTTCGTCCGGTAGGCGCGTCCGAGCGAGCCTCTCGTGCAACTCGTCCAATGCATGATCGGAGACCGAAAGAGTGAAAGGGAGTTCAGGACCAGGTGCCATCTGTAGGTGATGGTATTGCGCAAGGTTGACGATGTCGGCGGTTCATTATGTACTGCAGAGATCAGGTGCCCACACGCGAGTCAGCATTGCTACTAGATGGGCGCTGGCGGTTCTGATGTCATAAGGTTGAAGAAGAAAGGATGATTCCCCGCGAAGACTGAGCGCGCAGCCGTGCCAGAGGCTTAGGCACTTGGATGGCAACCCCAACGACATGACGGGAAGGTTCAACCGTTGTTGGTTTGATCTCCTGTGCGGCCGTCTCACGCGCGCGACATGCCACCTTTGTCATACGCGGCTGCCTCTCACCAGTACATCGGGTACAGGTTAGCCATGATCCAAGCGGCTGACAGATGCATAAGTGCTAATGAGGTACAGTCAATGTGGTACGATAAGTATGCTACTACTGTACAGATCCGAAGATGACCTCAATAGCCATTCGCGCTCATCACGATACCATACGCCGGCCCACCCCGTCCGAACATCGAGCGCAGATCGCCAACCAGTGCCTCAGGCGATTCATGAGCTGCGAAGTGTCCCCCACGAGCATGTTTGCCCTCGTGTATGACGTTTCCAATGGTACGACACCACCTATCGGGGCATCAGTGACTGTATACCAGTCGCATATGGACGTGCGTACGAGCTTGGCAAAGGGTATAGTTCCTTTGGGAAGTGAGAGATGCCTAGCGGTGCTACCGGTGGTGGCGCTGCACGGTACAGAGGATCGGCCACTTGACGTTCGAAGTAGATGCGCGTACTGGCGGCCGGTCCTGCACGAGAGAACCAGTAGACTGATATCCACTTCAGTACTATACGACGGCGTTAGTTCGCGCATATGAGTGATGTCGAGGACAACGTACCTTCGTCATCATCCCACGCGTAGTCGTCACTCCAGAGCACCATCTTCTCGTATATCCAAGCCAGCAATCCTGCAGGCGAGTCCGCCAGGGAGTACGCGAGCGTCTGCGGTTTCGTCGCATGCATCATGTAGTATCCCCGCCCCGTTTCCTTGAACCACTTCGCTCGTGCAAAGCCAGCCTTCTCCGAAGATGTGAAGGGCGTCGTGATGTAGCTGAGGTATCCGAGCGGGTCGGAAAGGAAGCGCGGTGGACCCTGCGGGGCGGGCATGTTGGTATGCCATGCCTTGACATGTGCGGGCGCGTATGTTGTCGCCAGAATCTGCGTGACGCGCCGGCCGAGGTCGCCGCCTTGTGCCACGTACTGGTCGTACCCGAGCGCCAACATCAGCTTGTGGCATATCTCCGCGTTCTGCGAGTGGTGAAAGCCAGGCTTGTGCGGCGCCTCGCTGAAGCCATAGCCAGGTATGCTGGGCGCCACCACATGGAATGCCGGCGCATTAGCGTTCTCGGGCTCGGTGAGCAGTGGCAGTATCTTCTCGACTTCCAGAAAGGTTCCCGGCCAGCCATGGACGAATAGCAAAGGGATTGCGTCCGGGCGCGTGCTCCGTTGGTGCACATAGTGCAAGCCGAGCGCGCCGAACCCGTCGACTTCGATAGGGCGCGTGAACATAGGAAGCTCGTTGATCTCCCGCTCCGCCGCGCGCCAATCGAAGCCGATTTGCCAACGTTCGACCATGCGCCGAACGTGAGCCAGAGGCACCCCGTAGTCCCAGCCGGCATCGTCAAGCTCGTCGGGCAGGCGTGTCATCGCGAGCTTTTTGTGCAGTAGCGCCAGCGCATCGTCGGATACTGCGAGGGTGAATGGTGTCTCAGAGGCGACCGGCATGTTCAAGGTGATGGTGCCATGCGTATGAGTGGCGAATGATATATATGTCCAGATGTCAGACCACTGCACACACGAGTCAGGATCGATTTATAGATAGACACGGTTACGGCGCCGCTGACTAGACACATCAAGCGAAGCTCCATGAGAGGCCACTATGTAGCATTGTAATGTCCAGCCAGCATCGACGTAGCAAGGTGTACATGTTGAACATGGTGGAGGGAAAGAGCGGGGCCTTCGGTGCCGAAGGCGCACAGCGGCCCGAGACTATCAACGCCGATCAAATATCCCCCGTGATCGCGTTCACGGATTGCATGTTCACAAGTTCTGTTCAATCCTGTTCAGTCCAATCACTTAGCCCTTTCTCTCGTGGCTGGTCATAGGCGTACTGCGCCAAGACATACGGTGAGTACGAGGGGCTCACACGAGTTCGCAGAATAAGTCGATACACCTCGATTCTGCCTCACTTGCGACCTGTTTTACGGCGTCGTCGACGTCATACGCAGGATATGTATGAATAATGGGCACGGTATAACGTATGAATATGTACATTCAGGGAACAAACGAGAGTTTCACAAGTCCACGAATCACGTCCCACTCGTCTCCCATCGACTGGGATGATTGACTTGTGCGCACTTCCTGTATCGGCGAACCGCCAAGGCGTCTGCTTTCCAATGTGCGCGCGAGAGCCGCTAGCCCAGGGTGAGGGCGTATTCTTTCCCCAAAAGGCACCATGCCATGCCCGATTGTGATCGTCTCCAAACGAGGGAATAGAGCGAAGCCTTGGCCATCGGAAACTTCCAACGCCGCGCACAGACCGGCATAATGGGAAGTCACTCTCTGGGAAGCCACCACAAAGATGTGAGTGACGTTGCGCGCGGGAGAGAAGTGGGTGATCCAGGAATCGGGCGATGTCACATAGTCGAATGTCGACAGGAACGCGATAGCGGTGACAGACGAAAGTGGGAGGTGTGGGAGGTATAGTTTGATGTTCTCGGCGGTCGTTGCCTCCATATCCTCCAGGAGTATATCCTGGGTGCGGGGAGCGTCGGTGACTTGTAAATCTCGATAACCCGCTCCTCGAGTAGAATCGATTGTGAAAGGCGAACCGAAAGGCAAACACTCTGCTATGAGTTTGCCGGAGCTGAACGATGTCCAAGGGCATAGACGCATACAACTGTCCTTCAACATCATCTCACGTGCCCGGTTGTGATCCAGACGAGCTTCTCGGAAAAGGTCCACTGATATTTGAACGGCAGCATCAGGGGCTGGGCATGAGTGAAGGTCCACTAGAACCGACGTAGAGGGCGGTAGCGTCGCACGCCCAACCAGAGATGTCACTGCTTCGTGCGCGGAAGAGACCACTGCGAGCACTTTGAGAGAGGAAGGGACCGAGAATGGGCGCAACGCGCGATCTTCCGTCCCCATAGTTAGGATGTTCTCCAGTCCTAGAAACCGAAGTTTGGGTAGTTGTGGCAGGATGTGTGACAGGTGTGATACTGTGAGTGTTTGCGCGGGCGGTGATCCGGCAGGCTTGCGCAGCTTCAGGAGCCACAACGAGTTGGAGAGTAAGGTCGAAGCCAGAGGCGGTATATAGTTGGTGATATCGAGCCGTCGAAGTTTAGACGGGTATGTCGCTGTTAAGACATCTGCGGGCGGGGGGTCTTGCGAGTCAATGAACGCTAGTCGGAGCTGAGAGAGGTTTGAGAGCTCAGTTGATAAAGGGGCGTCCACGAAGGAGTTCTCCGTATCCCACTCAATGACGGTAAGGTCAAGGTTCTTGATGCGTGCGGAAGTGGGTCTTCGTAGGTTGATTTCGGATCCCTGGTCGTTTTCGTCCCCAGGATCGGCATGGAGGTAGGAAGCCAGAGTGAGCATCTGTCCTTTGGAGCGTGCAAGAATCGTGCTCAGGTAGTTTGGATGTATGTGCTGGCATTCGATGTCACACCAGAGAGACGAATCGTTCACAGCCACCTCCTCGCGAGGTTAGCGAGAACGAGCGCAAGAGTATGAGGACAACGCGTACCTGCCTCCATGTACTGCACACATGGGTTACTGCCATCCATCCAGACGCGTACCGGAATATGGCACCATTGCGCGCTTCCCATTTGTCAAGTGCATCTTCGGTAAGCTTCCAACGGGCCGGCTTCCACGCCACTTGAAGGTAGCTAAATATCCGACTGAGAAGCTCGAAGGGCAGCCTGCAGACCCGCGCCATAGCGTTTCTACGTCTTCGGGCCAGCATGAGACACTCTTGGATAACCTGCAGCTCTATGTCGGCCTCGTGCAGACTTGCCGCAAGCGTTGTCGGGTCTGCCGAGCCGCGCTGACTGTCGAAGCGCGCGTCGACCAGTGAAGACCATGCAGTCCTATGAATGGTTTGAGATGATATCCATAGGATGTGTGGTATGTCGCGTACCTGGCTGCCTGCCAGTGTTGCTCGTCGCGTGACAATGTCGACATGGTGGTAAGAAGAGACCAGCACTCTGCGTCATGATACGTTCGAGGCTGTTCGAGGATGTTAACGCCGATCAAAACGTCCCGTGATCGCGTTTTGCTTCTTAGAGTACTGTCACGTTCGCAGGTGCTGCCTGGAATATTTCTCTACATCATGGACGGGAATATGCAGTACATTAGGTATTGAAAACTCAGACGCGCAGTACAAGGCCTTATGGGAGCACGCAATATACTGTCGCTAAACCTGACGGACAGACGACAACTCAACCAACGTGCGGATCTCATCCCACTCCTCTTCCAACAAAGACTCGAGAAATCTCTCCACATGCACTTCTTGCATGGGTGCATTGTTGAGACGCCTGCTTTTAAGGACGCTCGTGAGCGCAACTATGGCAAAGTGCGGGTGCGAACGCTCGCACAGGGATGGCTGCCCTTCAAAGCTGATCGTGATCGTCTTCAAGCGAGGAAAAAGCGCGAATTCTTGGCCATCGAAGCTGTCCAAAGCAGCGCAAAGCCCGATGAAATCATCCGAGACACGGTCTGCCACCATACAGTAGATGTGCATGACGTTGCGCGCGGAAGAGAAGTTTGCGATCCAAGAGTCGGCCGTGCCAATACGATGGAAGATGTCGAATGCGATGGCGGTGACTGATTGCAGCGGGAGATATCGTAGATAGAGCCTGATATCCTCGACGGTATCTGTTTCTTCTACTTCTTCGAACCCGGTACTTGGGATGTCTGTGATTCGCAGTACGCGGTAGCCGATGGGGTTTACGGTGTCAATGGTGAAATCTGGGCTGCGAAGGTCCGATCCGACCCAGACCTGGGAGCCGTCCAGATACCAGGGGCACAAGCGCACACAGCGGTCCTTCAGAATCAGTTCTTGCGCTCGAGTTTGGTCTAAGTTGGCTTCGTCGAACAGGTTCCGCGCGACCAGAAGGCCTGCGTCTGGAGATACACAAGTGTGGAGATCGATCATGACGGAGGCGGAAGACGGTATCACGGCATGACCAGTGAGAACTTCCATCGCGTCGTTGGCTGAAGAAACCACGGTAAGCACGCGCAGAGATGAGGGCACCGAGAACGGCTGGAGTGCCTCATCCTCCAATCCTACACATAGCACATTCTCCAAACCACAAGTTTGAAGATTGGGTAGTACTGATAGGATTTGTGAGAGGTGTGTTATCGTTAGAGTATATGTGGCCGCTGACGAATAGCGTAGTTTGAGCGACGTTAAGGTATGAGAGAGTAAGGTTGAATCCGGAGGTGGCGGATAGTCAGTGACGTCCAGCAGCATGAGCTTAGGCGGGTACGTTGTTGTCAAGACGTTGCCTGGTGGAAGTTCGTCCGACAGGAATGACAGCTTGAGCTCTAAGAGGTTCGGAAGTTCAGAGGATAAGGGAGCCACTATATCCTCATTCTCTGACTCCCAACCAATAACGGAGAGGTCAAGCTTCTCGATGCGCGCACACGTAGCGGCGTTCAGCGAGACCTCGGCGCCGCGATTGCGACTTTCAAAAGGGTCGGCATAAAGAGACGAAGTAATGTCAAGCATCCGTCCTTTGGCGCGAGCAAGAATCGTGTCGAGACTCCTTGGATGAACGTGTCGGCAGTCGACAGCGCACCAAAGTGCCGGATCGTTGATAGACGTCTATTCGTTCAATCAACGAAATTGACCATTGTGGAGAAGCGAACACGACGGACCTGTCTCCATGTAGAGCACACATGTGTGACCGCCATCCATCCAGACGTGTAGCGAGTGAGCGCACTACTACGAGCCTCCCAGTCTTCAACATCTTCCTGATACATTCTCCATCGTGCCGGTTCCCAAGAAGCTTGAAGGTATCCGAAGATCCGACAAAGGAGCTCTTCAGGGAACCGTAGAACGCTAGCCATGGAGTTCCTGCGCCTCCGCGCTAGCAACAAGGACTCCTGCATGACCTGCAATTCGACATCGGCTTCCTGTAAAGTGATCGCGTGCGCGCCCGTCTCTGCTAGATCGCGCTGTTCATCGAAGCGCATGTCGACCAGCGAAGACCAGACAGTTCTACGGATGTTTTGCGACGGTACCGGCAGAACGTGGGGTATGTCACGTACCTGGCCGGTAGCCGCTGTTGGTCCTCGGGGGAAGAGGTCGACATGATGGTGAGAAGCAACAGGCTCCGCGCGAGGGCGCGCCGAGCTGCGGCGAGTCGCTTCGGCTTCATCCTGACCATTATCATTACGCAACGTCACAACGCTCCCGCTGTACGCGAGTCCACTTCTACACCTACACCAAGAGCAAAGTGCTCGTCAGACCTTCAGTGACCCAGTGGAGTGGCCATATTCTCCGCTTTGATATGCTCAAGTTGCTTTTCAGGCCTCTCGCCAGCCTCTCATTGCCCTTCAACTTCCTCGGAGGTCCGGTCACACCTGTTGCGCGTATGCACTAACATTGACGGCCTCCTACTTCAGGATAGCGGTGCATGTTCGTATGCAAGCCTCGACCATATGTATGATAGACAAGGGTATGTACTGCAACTGCGACAAGCTAGCTATACGGTCTAATCAGTCAAAATACGATACCTCGGCCAACTGCCGAAGCCTTATCCAAGTCTCGCTGTCTAGAGACTCTGCCTCTCTCGGTAGACACACCACTCGGACGGGGATCTCGGCACTTAGCCTCGTCTCCAGAGCGGCGACGAGGGACCATACACGTGAATGCGCTTGTTGCTTCTCTTTTGGGCTATCTCCCCACCGACCGAGTGTGATGGCCTCTAATCGAGGGAATAAGAGGAACCGCGAGTCCGAAGAGGTTTCCTGTAAGCCAGCGCAAAAGGACGGGAAGTGAGAGTTGATCCCGATGCATGCGTGTTGTATGCCCAGAAAGCCTTCGAACGTGGATATCCAGGCCGACGCAGATGCGGGGAGCTCTAGTTCGCGAAGTAATGCGATTGAGGAAATGACCCCTCGTGGAAGGTGAGGAAGAAAGAGGGTGGCGTCTTCGACTGAATCATCGCTATCCGGATTGAATCGGGTCCTTGCGCAATCCCAGACTTGTATGGAGCGCAGACCAGGGATCGTCATATCGAGAGAATCCTCGTGTGGATCAACCACAGGCGTGAAAGCCAGCTCCGAGTGCTGCCACGGCCATAACTGGAGAAGGTTATGTCCCAGCACGAGCTGCATGGCCTGCGGAGCATAGTTCATGTCGCGAAAGAGTCCCTGTACGGCTGCATGTACAGTATCGCGCCGAGCGCACTCCTCGAGCTGAACGACTATTGAGGTAGATACGGAAAACGTCGAGGCCTGAAGGAAGCCAGCCACGCATTCCACGGCCATACCATACCGGAAGATCAAGCGAACACTTTTGAGACGAATTGGTGCAGTATAAGATGGCAATCCCTCATCCGCATCAGACGCCATTGCGGCGAAGACGTTCCGGAGTTCAAGGTGTAGAAGATTGGGTAAACGCGAAAGGATGCGGAGGGCATTCGGAACGGATAGCGATCGGCTGGGAAACTGAGCATCGCCTCCCATAGTGGCTATTTTGAGATGTGTAAGCGTGGACGAGAATAGAGGGGATGTCCAAGATGGGATAGTTCGATAAAGGTCCAACCGGCGCAGCCGAGGAAACACTTCGGATGACGCGGCAAGGAGGTAGGCTGCCGGAAGCATCCCGAAGTCGTGAATGGTGAGCTCTTCAAGACGTGGCATTTCGAGGGGAAGTAATGCGTCCAGGAGCATGTCCTTTACACGGACGTTGAGAGATTGGATGGCGGGCCGCAGGGGTTTGGACATCCAAGTCCAAGAATTCTGGTCATGATCTGGGCCACGATTGCCCTCGAAGTCGACGTTGATATGAAGGGGTTGACCTCTAGATCGTTGCAGTATGGTATCAATTGCAGCACAAGGAATATCATTGCAATCGATATAACACCATAGAGTGGGGTCATCGAGGATAATCTGTCTCTTCGTAAGTACGATGTAGCTGAAGGGCGACCGACCACGCACCCGTCTCCAAAGAGAACATACGTGAGTCAAAGACATCCACCCAGCGTAGTATGGCAGTGGCCAAGCCCTCCTGCGTTGTGGTTTCCAATGGGGCCGGACGAGTTTGAAGATATAGCTGAGAAGCTCGGCAGGTAAAGAACAGGCAGGAATCAATGTGTTACGCCTTGTACGCGCCATGACGATGTGTCGGTATACATGCGTCTGCATCGCTTCGAGTGCAGCGAGCTCGACGTCAGCTTCCCGCAAGGTCGAAGGCGTGGCACGAGGTCGTAGGCTATCGAAGCAGGAGGTCATGGATGAGAACCATGCAGTTCTGCAATAGGTCTCAGTAGCTCGTCGAGAGGATCGAGCCCGAGACGCACTCGCTGGCCACTTCCTGACTCTCCACATCCAATGCGGTCGACATCGCGAAGATTGATGTTCGTCGTGGTCGCGGACAAATCGCACAGCTCTGAGTGTGAGCTTACTGACGCGGATCTCGGGCCGACTAGCCGATTACTCGCGATAGGCGCTCAGAACGCATTCGGGCTGCATCAGCCTGGCCATTGCATTTGAAGTATACATAAACTTTGTACGACAACTCGGACATCATGACAGTTCGAGCCCAACAACCCGCAGACTCCAATCCACTACGCACTCTCAACCCCACATCCTCCTCTTCTGCCGCTCGTCCGACGCGATGTCCCCTTCGCATGCTGAATCCGCGGGGGATCATTCGAAGAAGTTCAACTGAACCAGTTCGCGAACGCCGATCCAAGGATCACCTTCCCACAACCTCGCGTCCTCCGTCACGCGAACTTCGCGTACTGGCGCGCCGCCTTCCTCCCTCTTCCTCAACGCGCTTTCCAGGGCCAAAACCACACATGTCTGGTCGGCTCCATTTAAAGCCTTATTCTTCCGCGAGCGAGCCGAAAAGCCCAATATTATGACTTCCAACCGAGGAAATATCAAGAAGTCCGACTTGACGCTCCACTCGAGCGCCGAACACAAGTCTTCGATCGTTCTCGTGAGCGGAACCTGGAGGTGAAGAACGTTCCGCGCTACACAGAATGTGCCAAACCAAAAGTTTGGCGTGCGCGGCTCGAGACCGTATTCCAGGTCTCGGCAAATCGTGACTGCGGTGATGGAAGCGAATGGGATGTAAGGAAGATAGCGACGAGCGTCTGCCAGAGCCCGCGTGTCGTCTTCGTCTTCAGAGTCAACGTAGGGGTCTTCGCTATCGTCCTCGAAAACCAAGCAGCGACTGCGCGGTTCGTAAGTCCCAGAAGAAGTGCCCCGAGTATATTTCAGGATCGCAGCGGGCGCGGGACAAGTGGCTGACCACGGCCGGACGTAGAACCAGCTTTTGTCAACCATCAATTCCCGCGGCTCGGGCTCTTCCGCGAAGGCGCCTTGAAAGAGGGCAGCAGCGATGCGGCCGATACTTGATGCGCTATTGATACTGTACAACTCCACAATGACGGTTGTTGCCGCTGGTATATGCACCATGTCCAGCATGCCAGCTGCACATGTATCACCGCACAGAAACCGGAGGTTGAGGAAGCGAAAGCAAGAAGGTAACGGATATCTCGGGGCTACAGCATCGCCGCCGTCCAACGCCTCTTCGAAGACCTTGTCCAAGGTCAGAGACTCGAGATTGGGCATCTGGGCAAGCAGGCGAGGAAAGTCTGTAGACTCGAGATAAGTTGATGGATCCCATCCGTAAGCTAGCGACCAGTCAAGTCGAGTCAACGTGGAAGTGAACAACGTGGATCGCCATAATATCGGAACATTCGACAACGTGAGGTGCGTGAGGTTGGGATATGGCATTTCCTCAGTCAAAAACTGATGTGGAAATGGTTCGGTCCCGCGCGGAAAGCTGTACTTGAGCGACAATGTCTTGAGATGCGGCATGTGGCGTGGGAGGGAGTCCAGTACAGTCGACCCGGTGGAAGACACCTTTAGCAGTTCGGTACGACGACACATCAAAGGGTTCAACCACGTCTGGAGCGCCGATGATAAAGTAGAAGGGCTGCAGTCCGAAAGGTTGAGCGTCATCCTCAAGCCCTGCTTTCCGGCACGATGGAGGATAGTGTGTATGGCGCTTGGATGGATCTTAAGACAGTCGATAGTACGCCAGAGGACCGGATCGCTTATGGCCACCTTCATCACGTCAGAGAAGGAAGAGTCCTAGATGAGAGAGTTCGCATACCTTTCGCCACGAAGAGCACACATGACTCAAGAATATCCAACCTAGGCCGTTTCTTGGCTTTCCACGACGAGGCCCGTCGTCCTTCAACTCCCAGTCGTCTCGCACAATCCGGAATATCTTGCTCTGGAGCTCTACTGGAAGCTTGCAGACACTCGTGAGGGCATTGCGCTTTTGTCGTGCGAGCGTGTGATACTTTTTGACGGCTTCAAGTTCCGCATCCAAGTCTGATAACGTGCAAGATGCGGCATCGAATCGAGTATTGAAGACTGAAGACCACGCATGGCTGTAAGGTACATTCAGATGGATGAGGTTACAGTACAACGGCAGGATGCAACAGACTCTATAGTTTCCTTGCGCTGCTCATCGTGTGTCAACATGGTGGCGAGAGCCAAGCCGCGCCGCGAACATGTCAAAACCGATGACGAAACATATGGGTGCAACCTTCCCTCAAACCGAACATGCCGGCAACGCGCGCTCGGCCCTCCCAAATTCTCTTACACATATACACCAACAGCACACAAAGCGCCCGTCGCGGAAAAGGGGAGATGTCGAGCATGAGATTTCCGTTGAGTCAGTCGGCCAGGGTAAGCGGGTGCGGCCGAGAGGAGACGCGACGCACGAAGAGTGACGCCCGCGGAACGATGTCATCTCAATCTAGCGCGGGCACCGCACAGGAGTCCGCCTCACCTGTCGCTCTCCTCTTCCACCCACCCATCTCCTGTCCTCGGATCCGACTCACGATCCCGAAACCTGCCTACATAACGCACCTCGCCATCACCTTCCCGGTCGCTCGCCACTTCTCCCTAAACCTCCACCTCAACTTTATCTCGAACCACTGCTAATTGCCCGTCCTGGCGCTCGGTATGAATATGATGGGCAGTATCCTGGGCAAGAGCCGTCCGCGGGGCGGCTCGGAGGACGCCAAGGCGCCTGAGGGTGCCAGTCCGGAGGACACGGAGCAGCTGTGTGTTATTCGTACAGCCCCTCTGGGCCGCGCGCTAATGGTGGCTCCAGCGACGAGAACGAGGGCTCGATCATCATGGCGCTCATCGCTCAACTCAGGTGTGTATTTTACACATAATAGTACTGGTGTGTAGTATATGATGTTGACGCGTGCTTGTAGGCCAGGGATGGAGCTGAGCAAGGTCACCTTCCCGACGTTCGTGCTCGAGCCCCGCAGCATGCTCGAGCGCATCACCGACTTCATGGCCCATCCGGATCTCCTCTTCGGGTATATCATCCGCCCTCGTACTTGATTATACAGTGATCTGATATGTGTACAGCGCCGAGACGTGCGACGACCCCGAAGAGCGCTTCATCCGCGTACTCCAGTACTACCTCGCAGGCTGGCACATCAAACCGCGCGGCGTCAAGAAACCGTACAACCCCGTGCTCGGTGAGTTCTTCAGGTGCAGGTACGACTATCCCGACGGCACACAGGGCTACTACATTGCCGAGCAGGGTACGTCTCCGTCCTCGTGACCCCCTATGGACGTGCATGGCGAACTGAGCGCTTATGGCCTGCAGTCTCGCACCACCCGCCGATCTCCGCCTTCTTCTACGTCTCGCCCGCCAACAAGGTCGCCATCGTCGGCAACCTCCGCCCGAAATCAAAGTTCCTCGGCAACTCCGTCCAGACGCAGATGGACGGCGAGAACCGCGTGCGGCTGTTGGGGCGGCCTGAGGACGGCGGTACGCACCCCCTGCCCTACGTCGCATGTATGAACGAGGCGCTGACGCTCTTATGAACACCCTCTTTCTATATCCGTATCCGACCGGCACGTCCGCCACACGTTACCCAACCCACGTTGCTCGTCTACGTCTTCGATTCGATTCAATACGTGGTTGGGCGGTGCAGAATACGTGATCACCATGCCCAACATGTTCGCCCGCGGCATCATCTACGGCAAGATGGTGCTCGAGCTCGGCGACGCGTGCACAGCGACATGCGCCGCGCACGACGAGTCCGCCGACATCGAGTTCAAGACCAAGGGCTTCTTCTCGGGGACGTACAACGCGATCGCCGGGCGCGTTAAGCATGGGAGCGCGGATATGGGCGAGATCAGCGGGAAGTGGAATGATGTTATGGAGTTCAAGAGCACTAAGGTACGCCCATTGGGTCTTTATATAATGAGGGGGAAGGTGCTGATGTGTGGAATAGACGGGCAAATCCCGCGTGCTCTTCGACGTGCACAAAGACGGCTCCAAAATGGCGCCGAAATGGGTCGCGCCCGAGTCCGAGCAGGAGGAGTACGAGTCGCGGCGCCTGTGGTCCGACCTGACGAAGGCGATCGCGAGCAAGGATATGGAGGCGGCCACGAACGCGAAGAGCGCGGTCGAGAATGCGCAGCGGGAGCTGAGGGGGAAGAGGGAGGCGAGCGGGGAGGCGTATACGCCGCGGTTTTTCGAGTTGAAGGGGGATCATTATGAGCCGAAGTTTAAGTGCGTGCCTCTCACAACTTGGTCAATGAACTGTGTGTGCTAATGCGAGGTGCAGGTTGCCGGATAACACAGACGAAGCGGTCACAGCCGTACGGGAGTGGATATACCCCTCGTCGGCGCCCCCATCCTGAACGCAACATCCTCATACATACATAGACGCCACACATACAAACAGTCTGGCTGCTATCTATTCCACCCCCGCAATAACTCTTGGCTCTTGGCTTTGGTTAAAGAAGTATATCGAACGCTGCTTGTGTATGATCTGTGGATGAGTCTCACTGCCGTTTCTTGCCCGTCTTTTGCTCTACAGAATAAGTACTACGTGAATTAATGCTGGCTTGGTTACACATGATTATTGCGTGAGGCTGGTGGGACGGAGAGGCATGGGTGGGCGGTGCTTCTCCCGAGCTGACGAGGGAGGTCGACGGCGAGCAGGAGAAGCGGCGAAGTCAAACACGATCACATGATTTATCTCATTGGCGCTACTCCATGACGCGCTTGTGTTCTCACCCCTCTCTTCACCTCTAGCACCTCCATCTCAGCCACTGCTGAACTTCCCCGCGGCAGCATCCCGTCTTCTTGACATTTCGTATAGAGAATACGCCTCTTGATGCGCCCTTTCTGATACGCGCTCCCAACGCCGCACATGACGAGCGAACGCGACAGCACCACATCACCCAGCATATGACGTCGGCGACGTCATCCGCGCCTTCGCGACCTATATCACCCTTCGCGCTCATACCTTTCAAACTCTCACCATCACATATTCTCTCCTCTTTCTGCCCAACTCAACTCATCCACAAACTCCTACCACCTAACGCATTCACGCTTACGACTACAATCATGTACTCCCGCGCCATTGCCGCCGCCCGCACCGCCGCGCCCGCCGTCGCGCGCGCACGCATGATCCACGCTTCGCCCGTTGCTGCGAAGACTGTCACTGAGTCTGTTGCGGACGCTGCGAAGAAGGTACATATCTCTTGCTCTCCCCCTCTCTCCTCTCCCACCTACTCTTCCCGCCCCTTCACACTCGTCATCTCAAAGAGTCGTTAATGCTGACGATGTGCACAGGCGGACAAAGTCACAGGCGAGAAGCTCGCAGCCGGGCTCGACAAAGCGCAGGGCGCATCGCAGAAGACAAAGGAGACGCTCGGATATGCGAAGGAGAACCCGGAGCAGGTTGTGAACCAGGCGAAGCAGAAGGGATATGAGGCGAAGGAGAAGGTCAAGGATGACGCTGCTACCGTGAGTTCTCAGTTTGTTTGTGAGTGATGGAGGGCAGGGTGGCTGATTTGGGCTGGTGTAGACGGCCGCTGCTGCGAGCAACAAGGCGGATCAGGCCAAGGCGGAGGTTGAGAAGAGGAAGTAAGCTGGGTATTATCATAGGACTGGAAGACACGATACAACATTGTAACATAGCACCGCATTAATCCGCACATGTCTTTCGAGCATCTTTTCTCTCCACGCACGCTCTTGTGTCTCGCATACGTTCCGCTCAAGCAAACTCTTGAGCGCCTCGGCCTGCATCGCCGTCAACAGGCGAGAGAACCGAGAATGAGCTCCAAGCCACTGATGACGTCACGCGTTCACCTTCGCGCGCTTCGGCCCGTAACTCCGCGCGCTCGCTGACAGAACCCAGCGCTCGACGCGACAGGACGCGACTCAAACGCGCTCACTACATCCACGATGTCCCTCCCACCAATCCTCTACCACCACTTCAAATCTCCCCTCCCCTACGCCCGCACCCTCGCCCTCCAAGAATCCATCCACGCCCACCAACTCGCCCTCCGCCGCTCCTCGCCAACCGCGCATCCCGACCTCCTACTCCTCCTCGAGCACCGGCCCGTATACACCGCAGGACGACGACAGACCGAAGACGAAACCGCCGACGAGAGTCTGCGGTTGAGGGGGATTGGAGCGGACTTTGAGCGCACGCAGCGGGGCGGGCAGTTGACGTTCCACGGACCGGGCCAGCTCGTGGGCTACGGCCTGCTCGATCTCGGCCGACGCAATCCGCCCGTTGGGATACGCGATTATATCTGTCAACTGCAGACCGCTTTGAAGTTGCACTTGAAAGAGGAGCACGGGATCGAGGCGGGGAAGAGCGAGCATACGGGCGTGTTTCTGGACGCGAAGACGAAGATCGCGAGTATTGGCGTGCAAGTGAGACATAGGCTTACGACGCACGGGTTCGCGATGAATGTTACGAGGGAGCCGGAGGGGTGGTTTGATGAGGTTGTGGCGTGTGGGTTGGCGGATGTTAGGGCGGGGAGTATTGAGGGGGCGACTGGGAAGGGGTTGAGTGTCGCCGGGGAGGTGGAGGGCGTTGTGGGACGGTTGGGGAGGGCTATGGGGAGGGACTTTGAGAGGTTGGAGGTAAAGGAGGGAGATGAGCTGGGGGAGATGATCTTGGGGTTGGAGAGGCATGCAGAGGAGTTGGGAGAGTGGCCGAGGGCGCCTTTGCGGCCTGCGAGTTGACGTTGGAGGGGTGATGCGTCTCTCTTATTGCCTGAGCAAGTCTCCTCGTTATGTCACTCAATGTGGCGAGGTCACTATGGATGCTAGCGCTGTTACGTAAAGATATTGCTCCTATATAATTCTACATTTCCTATTTGCTCTCAAGCGGCACGAGTGCAGCAAGGCCGACCCGAGCTTTCGAGCCAGCATCTCGACTCGACGACTCCTGATCATGAACAGGTAGACTCGGATTATGTGGAACGTGGAGATCTCTCGCGCAGCTACAGCGAGGCTGTGGCAAGCCTACGAACCTTCCGTCTCCTGCGTCAAGCGAGCAAAGGCGCGGGAAAGATATCCGAGGCAAGCCCGAGGCGTCGAGCGACCGTGACGCAGCCGCGCATTTTGTCCCCGCGCCATCATGCGCTATAGAACCTTGTCTGCCACCGTTGGCGAACTTCGTATACCTCATTTGTAGCCCAGCGTCTGGGGAAGATCCAACCTTCTGCAGAAATCGTGGAGAGTACTATTACGTTAGCGAACGGTGACGTTCAACAGTGTTTGAACGCGCGCACGTTCCCTTATTCTCGAACATCGACCTCGAAGAACAATGTGCGCATCCCACCTGCTGGCTTTATACCTCGCTCATGTGCATCACAGAGATGACCTGCGATGATTTATCCCTGCATGCAAAGACTTCAAGATGTAATTGACAACATGCGATACTACAGACCAAACCAAGAAGTCGTCCATTGATGATGCCAGCGTCATTGCGAACCTCACCCCCCCTCACTCCCTCAGTGCGGCGTACTAGCGCGTGAAGCTGCTATATATCCCTCAGAGCGCCGCTTGCGCTTGGCTGCACACTGCCCTTCCACACTCGACAGTGAATCGCTGAGCCTCCGCTTCGGCGTCGGCGCGCGAGAAGAGCTCACCGCCGCCCCGATATCCCGGAGAGACGCGTCTCTTGACGTCGAACTGGCGCGTCTGCACACGTATGGCCCTCTGCGGGCGAGGCGTGGGCGCACCGTGTCATCGCATGTATCGCCTTGGCCAGATTGGATGCACTGCCCACACGGGCGCACGTTTCCGCAAGGAAGTTGCTGCTCGCTGCAGCGCTTACACTGGGGATGCGGACATGAGCGTTTCCGTACATCATATAGATGCGCAAAGAAACTGCATACAGAGGTTCTGTGCTCCTCGTTGAGTGCGAAAGGCTCCGGCGGCTGCATGATGGTCAGCTTACGATGTCGAGGATGTATGTGGTAGAGCGCGTACCGTGTTAATCCTTGGACTCGGGGAAAGCTCTGCTTCGACTGGTTCTTCCTTCGTCGGCGTCGAGTGCTCAGGCGACGGTGCGCGAGCTCGCTTGTAGAAGTGCAACATCGTGCCGAAAAGAGTTGCCGCAGAAACGCCCGATACGTTCAGGATACCGTCGAGACCGACGAACGGCTCCTGTCACGACAAGCAGTGGTTAGCTGATCGCCTCAGGTATCCGCAAGAAGAGCGCGTACCGTATTCTCTTCTACCGGTGGGAGCACTGACTCTTCTGGTTCGACCTTCGTTGTACGGGCAGTCGGCGATGCAGCGTGAGGCGCGTCGGACTGTGCTGCCGACCATCCGAGATGATGCGTCGTGGGGGGTCCGGGCGGAGGAAGAGGGTCCGTTTGCGGTAGCTGCACATGCGGCGGACCGTTCGCGGCCAGTAAGACAGGCGTCGCGGGCGGGGTCATATGTTGCGGCTCGTTCCGTGGCGACTTGTGCAGTGGAGAATGAAGCGTTATGGTGACAGGCGGTTCGGGGAACTGATGTGCGGATGCAGGCAATGGCGGGTCCGCCAGTGGCGGAAAATGCTCGAGCAGGAGGCGTGGCGGTGAGGCTTGACTGGACTGAGCGTTCTCGGGTCCGAACCAGGATGCTCTCATGGACGAGAGAAGCTGCGCGTGTGCGTAGGGGTGAACGGCCGAGAGCGGGAGCGCGTTCGTTTGGAGGTGGCGGACCTCACGCGGGGAGAAGGGCGGGTGCGGTGTCGGTAGCAGGTGCTCAAGAAGGAAGGGTGGCACGAAGTAAGCCACATTGTCAAAGCGGTACGTGGACGGCGTCTCGTGAGGAGTATCTCGGGTCGTTTGTTCTTTGAGCGGAAGTTGAAAGAGTAGACTGGGGCAGAGCTGAGGGTAGTGGTGAAAGCGAACACCGAAGTCCGGTCGCGGGGTGTCGACCCGTCGCTGAATGCCGGCGGTGGAGGACGAGGACGAGGCTACTTGCATTTGTGCCATTGCGATGCAGGGACAAAATGGAAGCTGTAAATAGGTTGAGTCTCAGAGCTGTGCAGATAGAGTTGTAATAGTAGTCTTGGCCCACATTTGTCGCTTAGTTCGGCGAGGAGCTACGAATATGACTTCTAGAATTGAGGCCACAGGATTGAGGACGCCAGTTCGCCTGTGTCCGGGCTACTTAAGGTCGGTGCCCTTTCGACGACGCCTTTTCGAAGGAGGAAGCAAGTACGCAAGTACGCGGGGACTTGACATGTTCTGGGGGTCGCGGCCGGAGTCTTTGGGGGTATTGGGCGATGAACAGCCATCGCTTGCGTTTTCCACACGTCGATTTCGGGTCAATTCATAATATTGTTCCCCCATGTCCAACGCGCGCTGACGGGAAATTTTTGCGCTTCGACCATGGGAGCCAGATGCTCGCGAAGGGATATACACGACCTTCTTGAGCAGGCAATCGGGCTGCTGGTGGTGACATGGGATCAGAAGTGTGTAGGCTCTGTAGAAAGCTCTGATTAGCCTGTAGCACGTCTGCTTCTGGGCGCCGTGTTTGAGGGCTGAAGGCAGCCTCGAAGACGGCGGCGAGAGGCTTTGCACCGGTCATAGAATGCTTGAAAGACCTGCTCCCCGTCCTGGCCTCTACTTTCCACGAGTCTTGGCGTATAAACACACTCAAATCTATATATCATTCTTTGTGAACTCGACTCTGTCCGGGTAAGAGAGTGACTTCCGAAGGAGGCCACCGAGCCAATGAATCTGGCCCTGCAGAAGCAGGCAGACTGCGCGGAGGTCCCCGCGTCCCGCATGTATCCGCGCATCTCTCGTTAGTGTGCGATCAGTCTAAAGTGCCCGTGTACGCAAAGAAACAGCAGGTTTGCGTGAGCCTGGATTCGCATATGCTTCTCTCCGGGGCACGCCGAACGCTTCGTCGCGGCCAAGAAGATACTATTGAGGATATACTTCATGAAACCGCGATGAGGAGGCCCGTATCGACCCAGATGTCTCGATGATATCTTCATCCGTAGATATGCGGCTCGGTGGCGGTCTGTACAGCCTTCGTGATTGCAGCTCTACCCAAAGAGTATCATACTAGGCACATGAGAGAGTGCGGAATACGCGCACGACGTGAAGTCTAGAACGATGTGACTCCACTAGCGAGCGCCCCGGCGCTCTCCATGCCGACGTTGTGCTGATAGTTTGGCTCGATATAGTCGTCCCGATAGATCGCCCTTTCCTGCCCTCGAGTAAGGTCAGTCTCTGTCATGAAGTTGATATGTGACGCGCCATGCCTTCGTTTCTTGAGGTCTCCGTCTCTGCCGACATCGCCGCGTGTGCGGCGAGCACGGCGTGAACGTACTTAATCGCATGTAATGATGCTCGACCCTTTGGTTCTGTGGGAACCCGGATGCATCGCTCCGTTTTTTTGAGAATCCCGCTCGGGAATTCTCTATGGCAAACGAAGGCGATAGGCCATGGGAGCTCTCTCGGATTACGCTCGGATTGGTCGAGAGCATCGTGGGCAATGACGGTGCTGTAGTGCAAAGAAGTCCATTTTCCCGCAACCTGTGCTCCGATCTTCAGTTGAGCGAGCGTCCGGCAGAGCGTCTCGTAGGGAGGCTTGCTGCATGCTGTTGTACGATAAAAAGCAAGAATTTGAATAACAATCGTATGAACGGCATAGGCTGCGTCGAGCTGTCACCATCTTGCGAGACTGTGACAGGCACCAGACGTTCCGCACTGCCTCCAGTGCACCGACTTGAACGGCCGTACATCGCGTCCGGTTCTAGAAGCTCACTGGCTTATAAGGGCAGATGCAGGACTGACTGGGCGAGTGCTACTTCGGATTAGCCGCCAAAAAGGACGTGGGATGACAACCGGCATTTCTATTTCAAATACGTACATCATGTATAACGCATGGCGCTTAATATGGGCGCTGGGTCCGGTAGGTTCAAGGAGGTAACAGCGGTTTATACTCGAGAAAGAAAGTAAGGGGCCGGTGCGCTTGCGCCGCGTTCATCCCTCGCGCATCCGTGCCTACGTCCTATCGATCGTGTACAGTTCTGCCCGGCTTCTAGACGTCGGCTGCAGAGATTCTGGATGTCATTCACCAAGTGAAGGTCTTATCCTGGTAGTGCAGACAGTCGACATGATCGGAGACCGGACAAAGCCGCGGCGCGAGTTGAACGCTGTTGAATGAAGCGCAGCCGGCCGCACACGTGGCGACCATGCACATCTTTCTTCACGACCATCATCAGTCAAAAACCGAGTAATGCATGAAGACCAGGCCTTCGGCTCTCAGAACTCGGATCTCTAAGTCGCTTCGGAGTGGTGAGCCGGGGGTGTCGTGCGTTGCAGACATGCCAGAACTGTCGCGAGCGAGTTCAAATCGCCAACCAACCCCGGCCGCTCGGGCTCGGGCCGAGAACCCGACCAATCACCGACACGCTTGCCGCGCCGCATCGCGCTGAGAGCAACCTGGTAGCACATCACCATGGACCCAAGTACCCATTGTATATGTTCGACGTCCCCGGAAGAGAATAGCTTTGCGTGAGTAGAACGGCGCTGGAGTCGTGTTCATTTGAACAACCCCAAGGCGACGAGGTCAAATGCGCATTCCCGAACGTCTACCTCGACGAACTTGGACGACGCGCGTTCGCCTGCTGCCCCGACCATCCATTCGGTTAATCCCTCACTCTTGTGTCACCCAGGGACGGCATCTGAGGATCTCTTCCGATGCTGAAAGTGTATGATTATGACTGATAACGTCTGACAGTACTGAATACCAGCCGAATCAAGAAGTTATCAAAGATGAAGCTCTCGCAGGTTTCCTCTACCGCTCATTCTATCGAGCCCGCGCGTGAGCTCGCCACGCTATCCTCGGAGTCTCTTCTGCGCTTAGCGACACCCAGTTCAAGTTCTCCTGACCCCGCACTCGACTGCGAATCGCCAAACTTCCGCTTCGGCGTCGAGGCGCGGGAAGAGCTGGCTGCCGTCGCAATGGTCCAGAGAGACGCTTCGCTCAGAGTCGGACTGGTGCGTATCCCCACGTAGGGCCCTCTGCGCACGAGGTCCGGGCGCACCGCGTCATCACATGTATCGCCTTGTCCGAATTGGATGCAGTGCCCGCACGGGCGCACATTCCCGGGCCCGCAGGGAAGCTGCTTCTCGCTGCAGCGCTTGCACTGGACGTGTGAGCATGAGCGTTCCCGTTCATCATTCATATACGCAGAGTAACCACGTACAGATTGTTCACTCTCGTGTTCGACTGCAAGTTGCAACGACGACTGCATGACAGTCAGCCGACCGCGTCGGGGATGTAAGGGGAAAGAGCGTACTGTGTCAACTTCAACTGCTGGATTGGAAGGAGGCCCTACATCGACGGATTCCACCGTCACTTGGTGCTCAGGCGATGTTGCACAAACCCGTTCGTGTATCACGCTGTAAGGAGGTGATACTTGGTAGGAAGGAGCCGGGAGAGAAACCGCCTGTAACAGCTGAAGATGCGGTGGACCGTTCGCCGCCAGGAGCACGGGCGTCGTGGGCGGGGACGGTTGGGGCAGCTCGTTCCACGGTGAATCCTGTATCGGCGAATGGAGAGTGATGACGACAGGTGGATCTGGAAACCCGTGTGCGAGTGCAGGCAGCCGCGGTCCCATCCAAGGCGGCCAGTGTTCCAACAAAACATGTCGCGGAGAGGTGTCTGAATGCGCACGTCCATATCCTGACCAAGACAGTCTCATGGCGGCGAGAAGTTGCGCATGTGCATATGGATGAACAGCAGAGAGAGGCCGTGCGCGAGCGTACGGAGGCGGTGGTGCACACGGGGATAGTGGCTCGTGCCACGGAGTTGGCAGCAGGTGCTCTAACAGAAATGGCGGTACGAAGTAAGCCACATTTTTGGAGAGATGGCATATCGGTGTCCCATGAGGGATGATCCCGGCAGTGTGTACCTCAAGCGGGCGTTGAAAGAGAAGGCCAGGAAATAACTTGGGGTAATGGTGAAAGTGAAGACCGACATCCGGCCGCGGAGAGTCGGCTCGTCGCTGAATCCCGGCGGTTGATGACGAGGACGAAGTTACTTGGGTCTGGGCCATTGCGATGCAGAATAAGGGAATGGGGACTGTAAATGTGGTAAGTCTCACAGCCGTGCAAATAGCATCGTAGTAGGCTTGGCTTACATCTGTCACTTCGTTCGGCGAGAGCTGAGGGCACAGGATTAAGAACGCCAGTTCGCCTGCAGTCAGACTATTTGAGCCGGCACCCTTCCGACGACTCCCTGTCTAATTGGGAAGGGAGTTCGTCAGGTCTTGACGTATTCTGCGGGTCGAGGCCGGAGTCTTTGGGGGTATTTGGCGATGAACAGCCATCGCTTGCATTTTCCACACCACGAACCCCAGTCAATTCACAATATTGTTCCCCCGTGCCAATCACGCGTTCACAGGAAGTTTTACGCCCTGATCATGGGAGCCAATTGCTTTTGAGGGGATATATGCTACTTTTCAAGTAAGAAGCGGGAGCGCCGGTGGTGACATAGGATCAGAAGAGTGTAGAGTCCGTACACGACTCTGATCAGCATGCATCACAACTCCTGAGCGCCGCGTTTGAGGGCTAGGAGCAACCTTAGCAACGGCGATGAGGCATTCAAACTGAATAAATTATGCTCGCCTTAAACTCGGTGCCACGTCCGGCAGCTGCAACCCCATGCGGCTTTGCGCACGAACCTATACAACCTTATATCTCATTCTCTTTGCGCTACTCGGCGCAAACAAGAAAGTCAGTGTCAGGGCGGGGTGTTGGGAAGATACATCTGGCCCTGCAGAAGCAAATAAAGTGCGCGGCGGTCGGCGTGTCCCACATGTATTCTCGAATCATCCGTCAGGACGATCACTTTAAAAAGCCGTGTACGCGAAGAATCAGCAGGTTTCCACGAGTCAAGACTCGCATACGCTTCTAAACGGGCACGTCTGACACAACGTCGCGCCGAAGGCGATGATCCCTCCACTGCATATGATGCCAATGAGTAGGCCATTGCGACTCAGATGCTTCGACAAGATCTTCGTCTCTAAGTGTGTGGCTCGGCGGCGGCCCTGTATAGCCTTCGTAACTGCGGCTCTACCCGGAAAATGTCATGCTAGGCACATGGGAGAGTGCGAGATACGTGCAGGACGTGAAGTCTAGAACAATGCGACTCCACTAGCGAGCGCCCCAGCGCTCTCTATGCCGACGTTCTGCTGATAATTTGGCTCAATACAGCCATCCCGATAGATCGCCCTTGCCTGCCCATCGAAAAAGTTAGTCTCTATCATGAAGTTAAGAAGTGGGGCGCCATGCCTTCGTTCCCAGAGGTCTCCGTCTCTGCCGACATTGCCGCGTGTACGGCGAGCACGGCACAAACGCACTTGATCGCATGTCATGATGCCAGGACCCTCTAGTTTGGTGGTAGCCCAGATGCATCAGTTCATTTACTCTGAGAACCCCCGTATGGAATTTTGCCACGACAAACGACAGCGAAAGGCGATGGGAGTCCCCCGTTCGCTCGGATTACGCTCGGATTGGTCGAGAACCCACTGCCTCGCATCCTCGGCGATGAAGATGCTCTAGTTCGAACCGAGGAAGTCCATTGACCAAGAAGCCTGCGCTACGTTCTTCATTGAGCGAAAGTCCGCCAGAACGTCGTGTAGACAGGCATGTGAGTCATGCGGCCGGGTTGTGCAGTTTTGGAATGCAAAGCCTCGAACTGCAATCAAGCGAGCGGCAGAGGCTGTGTTGAGACTATTAGCATGTTGCTAGACAGGTACCAGACGTTCCGCACCTCCTCCAGTGCACCAACTCAAACGGCCGTACATCACGTCCGCTCTCAGAAGCTCACTGGTCTACAATGACCGCGCCCTACGTTAGCTGTCAGCAAGGTCGTGGGATCAGAATCTTCAGTTCTATTTCAAATCCTTACATCAGGTATACCGCATTGCGCCTAATGTGAGCGTTTGATTTGGTAGGTTCAGGCGGTAACGGCGGTTTATACTCGAGAGAGGAAGCATCATGCCAATGGGGCCGTTGTCCTCGCGCCGTGTTTCCTAGCACCTTCAAGCCTATATCCTCCAAGTCATGACGGGTTTAGCCAGCGTAGAGTCCGGATGCAGCAATTTCGAATATCATTCACCATGGGAAGGCCTCTGGTATACGCATACAGTCGACATGATCAGAGGACGGACAAAGCCGCGGCGCGAGTTGAACGAAGCGCAGCCCGGCCGCACACGTGGCGGCCATGCACGTCGTTCTTCAGGACCACCATCAGTCGAAAACCGAGTACGCGTAGAGACCGGGCCTACGGCTCTCAGATCTCGGGCTTCATAACTGCTTTGGAGTGACGTGTATAGAGGCATTGTGTGTTACAGACATGCCAGAACTGTCACGACAGGTTTCAAATCGCCGACCAACGCCGTGGACGCTTCGCGACACATACCGATTGGCTACCCATAAGGCAGTCATAGCCCTTCAAGAGATAGTGGACCTAGACGCTCGCCCTATGGATGCGGGAATAGGGTGCTGCTTGAGCAAGAAGAAACCTAGAACGCTCTACCGACTCTGAGTGCTTCCGGAGATCTCCCCACCGATATTTGACGCCCGTGTCTAACATCCGTGCCGACTATTGGGCTCAATAGCGCCGACCCGATGAATCTCGTTCGCGCTGCTATGTGGGAAGCGTCTCCACCTTCTCCCTCGGCCTGTGATGGTGAACGTGTCGGCGGCTCGGCGCATCTTGCCTCACAGTCGCCAGTTCCCTGCGACATGTAATGATGCGTGCCTGTGTAAGCAGAAGGAAGCTCGCTTAAGAACCGCATCTCACCAGCAAGACTATTCGACGCATAGGCTCCACGGCTGGGAACGAAGACTCGCCACTGCCCTAGCGTCTCTACCTTGTGCCCTCCAGTATAGTTGAGTACGTGCGGCTCTCAGACACTACGCGGGTTACATCAGACTTATCCGGCACATTCTCGCAGGCTATCCTATGCAAGACGCATCGAATCCCGCGTATGGACATGCCCGGAACGTCGCCTGGTTCCCTCAAGGTTACCCATCCGGCAACAACACTCATCACGCCCGCCCGGCTCTGCGTGCACAAGCCCAGTTATCACCAAGCTACTATGTGCATCCGCAAGGCGGTCTCTACAGGACGCATCCGCAGGTTCACTCCCCGATCTTTTACCTCGCGATATGCCAAAGACCATGCGGACACTTATACGCGTGTCCCGTCCCAGGCCCCTCGGTATCTTCAGCGCCGGCAAGGGCACTGTCATCAGAACCGATAGGTCAAGCTCCCATGTTTTCAACCCCGGAATACTCAGTGTCACCAACTCCCATACATCAGCTTGGGTGGAACAGGGCGCGGTCCGCCTACTCGTCCGCATACGCAGCCAGGCAAGTCACTGGTGCAGGCGAATGGTCTCCTTCACAGCCTGGCCTCCTTCCATACACCGTGACGCGCTCGTCTCCGCCGGATGGACACTCGCCTTCTCTTCCGACGTACCTCTCAGTGCATCCCAGTGCCCGTGAGAATACGCCGTCGACGCTGGATTCATCTAGCGCTTTTGCTTCGGTGGCTCTCCGTTCACCGCCTGAATCGATGGCGCAGCTGGGACAACTCATGTCTACGCATACGTATTCCGAAACTGCGATACATCAATCATACCTTCCAAAAAACCAAGGATACGGCACTTCAACTCCGGCTCCTCTGGAGGCTCTGCATCCCCCTGCTCTCGACAATCAGGTACAGCCCCCGCCGTCACTCGAGCAGACACCAAGTTCAAGTCCCAGTGGATGGCCGCAAGGTGAGCAATTGGATGTTGACTTGTGATACGCTATCTCTGATATCGTTGCGCAGATATGATGCCTGATCCATCCCCACAAAACAACGGTGTATATCTCGCAAAAGGAGAGAATGTGATGATGAACGAGTGGAGCTGTGCATCGACGTCGAAGCGAGGGTCTCTAGATGGGGCGCAGGAGGGCGCCGGCGGTTTCGATACCGCTGTCGCCGAAGGCACGGCGTACACTGAGTCAAGCATGAACTCTCGAGACGGTGAATACGAGAAGGGTCTTGGGCGAGCGGTTCCACCTTGGCGGGTAGCCGAATACATGAGATTGGCGTAGTTGATGTCGAGCGGGCCTTTTTCTTGCGATATTCAGTGCTAGTATACAGATAAATCACTCTATATATACATGCCTGGTTCACATACAATACGTATATTACTCGTCGTGTGCAGTCACCTTCGTGTTCAATCAGACTCAATCGCGATCAATCACGATCAATTATCACGCCGGTATTCTGCATGAGTATATGTGCAAGGCAGGGCAGTTGACGACAGAATGCAGCATGTTTATGCCATCGGTTTTGTACTGTCTAGGCGTACCGCAACTTCTACTGACCTCTCGCTGGCGTGCTCTTCTTCGCCTTTTCGGCCTCAAGCTGCGCGCGTTTGGCCTCACGCGCCGCGCGCTTGGCGTCAAGCGCGGCTTTCTTCGCTTCGTCAGCTTTGCGTTCCTCGATGAACTCGACGAGTTCATCATATGTCATAGTGTGCGGGTCTTTATACTTCTTGTATGGACCTATATGGCGCGTCAATCCATGAGCTATCCACTTGTCTCTTCGCGGGAGTGGCCTACCTCTCTTATAACCTTTCGGGCGCGCTTTGTGGACATTGCTCACGCAGGACTCGTCTCTACCAGTCGCCACACATCGTCCACAGGGCCGCGCGTCATCGCATCGCTTGCCCGCTTTATTGCAATTCGAACACTAGAGATGACTTGAGAAAGTGCACAAGGGAAGTGAAGAGAGATAGAACGGACTGCCACTTTTACATGAGACCTTGTTGCAGATGTTGGGGTCTGTTGCACGGCGCTGCCCGATTGGCATGGCCCAGGATTGACGGAGTGATCCTCGACTTGATTCAGTGAGACAGCAGGGATTCTTTGTCGGCGTCTTCGCACTGGGGCGCCTGGTGTGTAGCCCGGCTGCCATTGCAACATAGAAAAGGGTGCATCTGTCAAGGGCATGAGAATTCGACATGTTTCGCTGCAATTATCGTACAAAGATCTATCGCTTGACTCGCGAGAGAAGAAGCCGATGGAGGCGATACAGAGTCCGGGTGCGGGTGGAAGTCTGGAAAGTCGTGGGGCGATGATAGCGGGCGAGACGTGTATAGTACCGGCGAAGGTGATCGTCGGACGATCGGATGCTGAGCGATGCCCGGTGCTGCCAGAGGTTGAGCATGCGATGCGTGATAGGTTTCCGCGGAAGAAGGCTGAGGTGGAGCATCTGCAGGCTGAGGCGCAGTCGGAACCGGTGTGAGTTGTGCAGTTGCCAAATGTGAGCGAGAGTCGCCGACCGGTCCTTGAGCGACAGCTTGGACAGGGACGACAGGCGGTGCTTGGGAGCGCTCTGGGGCGTGCCCCTGAATGACATGGTCACTTTCGGTTGGGGCGGCACTTGAGGGAAGGGGGCAGAGCGATGGGAAACGGCGATGACCTTGGTAAACACTCAAGGCGCCCTCTTCTCTGAAGTCGACAGGGAACAACTGGGATGGTGGACGGCGGTTTCGATCCATAGCAGTGATGTAAAGAAAGACAATTCGTGTGCGGCTGAAAGAGGGCAACCTGTGTGTTCTTCGTACTGCCTCAGGAGGGTTGAAGTTTTCAAAGTCTACAACATCATCAGTACCAGACCTGCTCGTCCCTGCAATCAGCGGATTCGACTCACTCGGCGCAATGACAAACTCGACTTGCAGACACGGTGACGAGCTCGACTTGCCAACGAGAATGCAAGATGATGGTAACGGAGGAAGAAACTATGGTCGGGAATCGAGACGGGGTCCTCGCATGGGGAGGACGTGGGCGTCAAAGGTATTTGAACACGTGGGATGCTGTACTCCGAGCGCTGGTTTGCGCCTTCGCTGCCGCATGCTCTAAGTTTTCTTTGGAATGCGGGACTCATAGCCATATTGTGACAGATCCGTCTAGACAGATTCCAGTGCAACCCCAACGACGAGTCGCTGCGATAGTCAAATCTGCAGACTATTATGACACGGCGTCTAGTTGGGTCGTGACATCACGACACGACACCGTATCGAGTAAGGTTATGCATTTACTCGGTCGAGCATCTCAGCCGGGGCGCGTTGCTCGTAGATATGCGACACGGACCTTGCGGCATAGGCATGCAGATGGTCGTCTACTAAAGGAAAGCTCCCGCGAAGTTCAACTTCCCCGTGGCTTGGATCGGAATCTCGGCCCGGATGCCGTCGGCTTGATCACACTCGCGCGTCGGGCTGGGGCTCCAAGTGAGTATTCGCTCAATGTGCACAGTTCACGGGACACGAAGACACGTATCGTATTTGGCATATACACAAAGCAGAAAAGGTATACAAATTTGCACATTCCGATCAAAGGATCTCCAGGCCGTGACTCTGCCGCCTTCGTAAATGCGCACTTCGCATGCTAATATTGTCGCGCCTCTGTCCTTTCTCTTCTGCAACGTACTCGTCACAACAAGCATGATGCACTCTTCCATTCGTTTGCGGAGAGTGGCGTAAGTATGGCCTTGCCTCTCGGATTTGATTGCGACCGTCTGCAGTCGAGGAATCAACTCAAAAGCCGATCCTCAAGTCTCGAGCTCGAGGGCGAGGAAGAGTCAAGAGAAGTCCATGCATGCACGGCTGGCTCAAGAATTCATGCTTCTCATGTGGTTAGAGGTGTGTAAGACCCACCCTGACCGTCGACGAACATCGCGCGGTGTCAACCTGATGGTGAAAGCCAAAGAAAGGCGCGGGCACGTGTGCGCGTCGTTGCTTGATCTGTGCTTGTTGGCACGCGCGGCGTCTGTTCAAGTCTGCTTCTGCCTCTGATCATCGCGCCGGGCTACGAGCGCTAGGGTCTACATTTTCGATACCTAGGCTCTAGTCTGCTCTCCTATACCCTGTACACTTCCTATATCTCAGCACGTGATCTCTAGAGGTTCTCGGGATGGACGGCGCCTACGCCGCTACGAACGGCAACGGCACGGCCGTACACGACGATGCGCCCGCAGCCTCTGCCGCCGCACCGGCCTTTGATCCAGCCGTCTTCCGCGAATATCTGCTCGCACTTCTTCCACCATTATTTGGCGCGACGCAGTCCGACCTCGAGAGTCTGGTCGACGCCGAAGGGTTCAGCGAGAGAGTAGCCCGATTCGCGGGTGAAGGCGGCGACGCGCTCTACGTCGTCAAACGGCGCGAGACCGCGGAAGATGCCGAATCGGAGTCGGAGCCCGCGATGTACTCGTACGAGCTAGCCAGCCAATTAGCTTATTCGAGCGATAATACTACGACGCTGGCCCTCATCAAACGCGCGCCGACTTTGGACTCTGTCACGCCACTCGCGACACAGCTACATATCCTGAATCTTTTCGGCGGAGACGAGACACCATATGAGAGTTTACATGCCGTTGTCAGCAACGGTGTCAAGCCTTGGTTCGATGCGTTCGTCGGAGCACGGCATGGTGGAAAGGACGGGGATAATAAGATGGGTATGTGGCTTTCCGCCTTTCATCGTGGTATAGCATGATAATGATATGACACGCGCAGGTATACCCATGACCAAGAAGAAGTTCGCGGAACTCGAGCTTTCTTTGCTTCATCTCCAGCAAAACGTCGAAATACCCGAAACGCACCTGATCATCCACCCGGTCATCCAACGCGCAGTCGAACAAGCACGCGCGGCCGGCGCACGCCCTTCCATCGCCAATATCCCCGCTCAACTCCTCTCTGACTCGACTT